CGGCGGCTACGTGGCTCTTCCGAAACACGCCTTCCCCAGGAGGTAAGAGTTGCCCCTCTTGCCGTTCAGCTGGGAGTACCTGCCAGACTCAGCCTGGGCGCTGCTGGCATCCCTGGGAAAACGCCTGTCTGGCCCGTATGGAGGAAGCAAGGGACCGAGGCGGGGCGGTGGGTGCAAGGGCCAGGTGGGAACTTCCAAGCAGAGTCAAAGTGGAGAGTTCTGCAGACACACACACACACACACACACACACACACACCAATGCTGGGCCAGCCTCGTCCCTTCTGCCCCTTTCTTCCCACGGAGGGAATGTGTTGCGTTTTCTTTTTCACGGCAGCCTCCCGGATGCGCCAGAGGTCATTGAAATGGAAGTCCGCACCCGTTCTGCAAACGGACTCCTCCTGTGGCAGGGGGTGGTGAGTGAGCTCGAGGCCCCAAGAAGGGAGAAGCCCAGAGAGCGGGAAGGGTCATGGATATGGTTTTAAAATGGGAAGCAAGCGGTGGGGGGGCCGGGGAGGTTGGAAAACGCAGGACACAGGACTCAGCCCCGAAGGGAGGAGCCACATTCTGGACTTTCTGGCAAAAGCAAGCCCCGGAGGGCCGAGGCGAGCAGGCCCTTGCCAGGGAGAGCCTTTCTTGTGGGGTCCTCTTGGTGTGACACCTTCTAGCTGAGCTCCGAGCGCTTCCTCCCCAGGCCTCTCCCCAATAAAAAGCGGTGGCCTCTTTGACTCAAGCCATGCAAAGGTGGGAAAAACCCCTCCCACCAGTCCTGGTGCGCCTCCCTGGGCAGCAAAGCAGAGCATGAGTGTGGGCTGCCGTGCTGGAGAAGAAAAGGCCGGAGGGAGGGCCTGTGTGTCACCCGCCTGCCTGCCTGCCTGCCTGCCTGCCAGATGGCTGTTGCTCGTGCATGCCTTCGCTTTAGGTGTTTGCGAGTGGCTCCCACCCAGCATCACAGGCTCTGCATGTCACCCGCACAAGAACGTGGCACGCCTGTGGCCGAGGCTGCGAGCAAGGGGCACCCTTGCTTTCTTTGGCGCGCTGCTTTGCTGACTTGCATGGCCCCTGCTTTCTCTCTCTCTCTCTTTCCAGACAACCAGGGAGGCGGGCCTTGAGCCGTTGGCTGCTAACGAGGTATTTACTGAATTGGTCCAGTGAGGAGAGTGTGGAAAGGAAGGAAAGGGGGGAGAAGGGAGCTAGCAGGGGACTCGCTTGCCCCCCCCCCATGCAGAAGCGCTTGGGAGAGCTTGCTGTTGCAGTGCTGTGGGGGTCTCGGGAGGGCTCCGGCATGGCCCTGATATTCTTGCCAATGGGTGTGAGCAGTGGCGTGCCTGGAGTGTTGAAAGAGCAGCTGCTGTTTGTGCCAACCTCTTCAGGACAGGCTCCCTGCTTGCTTTTCTCTTTTTCTGTGTGCGCCATGCCCTCATGGCCTCAGGGGGGGCATGTGCCAGCCGCTTTGGGCCCTCCACCTCTTGATGGACTGCAGCTTTCGCGATGGATAGCCCAGCCTTGGTAGAGGAGACTGTGGCCGTTTATCGCACAGCAGTCTTTGGAGGGCCACTTTTTCCCTGTCTGTGACCTAAGCTGTAGCAGTAGCCTCTCCTGAGGCAAAATGGGAGAGGAAAACGAGGGCCCAACACTTCCTTCTCTGTCACAGGAGGAAGGAGAGAGTGGGAAAGGACAGGACTTCATCAGCCTCGGGCTGAAGGACGGGCACCTGGTGTTCAGGTGAGTGAGGCTTCCTCCAAGCCAGCACCGCCCGGGCTTTGCGCTAGACGACAGCCTGTCTGTGGTGCTGATGAGGCTTCTTTTTTAGCTACCAGCTAGGAAGCGGGGAAGCCAACATCGTCTCTGAAGACCCTGTGGACGACGGCGAGTGGCACCGAGTGACAGCCATCCGGTGAGGGGGAGAGCAGAGGGGTTTGAGTGGCTGCAGCCAGGGATGAGGGAGGGTGGGGGGAAAGGCACAGGCAGAGTGAGTGTGCCAGCACCATGAGGAAACAAGGCAAAGACAGGGGATCATCCCTGGCTTGCCAGGGGTAGGGAAGGGCGTCTGCTGCACGAGACCCAGCTGTTCCTTGACCAAGATGAAAACTCCTCTCCAGAGGTTCAGAGTCATTCTCTGGCCAGCTTTGCAGCCCTGTTCCAGATTTGTGTGTATGCGTGTGTCACACAGATATACTGTGCACACTTCCTCCGTGATTGTTCTGTGTCTGCCAACATCAGTCGACCTCTCCTGTTCCTTTTTCAGGGAAGGGAAAAAAGGCTTCCTTCAAGTGGATGGCGAGGAGATGATGACCGGGGAATCCGTCGGCAAGCACGTCATGGTGAACACCAAAGGTCAGGTTTATATCGGTAAGTGCTTTCCTCTTGGGGACCTGGATGAATTTCAAAGGCTTCTGTTTTCTGCAGACACTTTGTGGTGGAAGCTCAGCCAGATTGAACTTCCAAGATGCGCTTGGGCAGAAAGAAAGGTTGCCAGTAGCCCTTCGCTCCCTTTGTTCTCCCTTCTCGGCTTGGTTCGTTTGCCGGAGAAACAGGACTGCCAAATTGTTTTCTCTCTATAAAATGAAGTGCAGGCCCAGTGGACGTGCCCCCAATGTGAGCAAGGCGGGGGCTATGAGGGGGGGTCCTCCATAATCAAATACCACATCAGGATGGGCTGAGGAAGCCCGTCTCTCTGGCACCCTCCGTAGAACATGGGCTCCCGTGGTCTCTTTGCCGTTGGCCGCATCCACCAGGGAGCAAGGGAGGCCGCTGTTCGGAGGCATGGCTGTGGGTCTCCCTTCCTTGTGCTCCCGAATCCTCGGGGGGTCCGTGGCATGACAGGAAAGGCAAGAAGAGCTGGCTCTCAAACCGCAAACGGTAACCGATGCTCTCTTCTTTTTTCCCCCCTACAAACAGGAGGTGGCCCTGACATCCAGACCCTGACCGCAGGGAAATACCTCTCAGGAATCACAGGCTGCATTAAAAACGTGGTGCTGCTCAATGACAGGCCGGGCCAGTTGCCTCACCAGCCGGTCGACCTCCAGCATCTCTCGGAGGCTGCCCTCAACATCCAGGAGTGCCCCTCGTAGGCCCGGCGGGCCGCTTCTGTGCTTTCTGCTGTTGTTGTTGTTGTTGTTGTCGTCAGGCCAATCGAGAGACATCTATTATTATTATTATTATTTTAATATTATTATTACGAATTTTTAAAAGAAAGAAACACAAAAACGGTGCTTTGCTGCTACCAAAAAAGTGGGGGGAGGGACTGGCTTGCAAATTTTATGTAAGTGACAGACCAATGGGGTGGGGAGGGGGCCACGAGTGACCCTGCCAGGCCCCTCCTTCTTCTGGCCCTCACACCAGGAGAGACGGCCAAGAGGACTCTTCCAAAACGGAGAACGGCGCTCTTGGGAGAGGGCCACCCCACCCCCACCCCCCGCATGGCACTGTGTCGGAATTGCTTCGAGGGATGTCGGAAGAGCCCGCACAGAGCCCTTTCAAAGGCTCACGCCAGAAGGGGGCGGAGGACAAGGGGGGGCTGCCTGCGCTCTCGCGCTCCTTGCCAGGGGCCCACGGGTAGAGGCCCACAGGCAACCCCCTGGCTTTTCTGCCTCGGCTCCTGCTGGGCTGGGCCAAGCCGGGCAGGTTGTGACCAAAGAAGACACTGACACACACACACACACCCGCCGCCACCACCCTCGAGGGAGACGGGATTATCACGCTGAGCAAGACAAGGGCTGGGCAGGGAGACGGCTGCTCCTGGTGTGGCCAAGGTCCCACTCCTCTAGCCAGGTCAGGGGGTGGCAGGGTCACTGGTGGGGAGGGCTTGAGCAGGGCCCCTCCATGAGGGGGCAGAGGTCTTTGCGTTAATCATGAGCCCCACCCCCACGTGACTACTGTGTTGTCGGCCAGACAGCCCGCTGGACCCGGAGGGCAGGGTTACCTCCCTCCTGGGTGTCCTTCAGGGATCCCTGGGGAGCCCCAGGCAGGGTGACCCTGAGGAGAGCTGGGCCGACCCTCCCCACCGCCCTCAGCCACTGAGGCTCTTCGGCAAGAGGCACTGGCTCCTCTGACTGCAGCCAGATGCCTGAGCTCTGGCCAGGCCAAGAAGGGCAAGGAGGGAGCCTGTGCCCACCTGGGCATCTCCTCCGGAGTGGGCAGGGTGGGAAGGACACAGTGTGCTATCAGATGCGGAAGAGGGGGGGGGAAGGTGACCAGCAGCTGCCACCTAGCCTTCTGTGCCACGAGCCACAGTTCCCGTCCAGTGTTTCAGGGGAGGGTACATTTTAACGTCGGAAGGAAGCTCTGCTGCTCCCCCCTCTCTCCGGCAGAGCTCACCCGACAGGGGCCTTTGCCTGTCAGGCTCGCAGCTTCAACCCTTCTCCTCTTGGGGTTAGTTTGCCTTGGTTTGGGAGCCTGGGCGATCGGCCTCCACTCTTGCTTTGCCCACTTGCTTTCAGGATCAGAATGGACTGCCTGTGAGACGCCGCAGGGCGCCTGTTGCTCCAGAGCTCATTCCTGTCCTAGCTTCCTCTGCCAGGCTCCCCCCCCCTTGTTCTTATATATTTCTTTTTCTTAAATAAATGGTGCTGAACCCCACGAGTTGCAAAGTTTATGGCTCTCTCCTGGCAATTCTTAAGCACGAAAGTGGGTGCTTCCAAACCAGGCCCTCCTTGCGTGGTTGTTCTGCCTCACTGAAAGGAGGCTGGGGACAGAGAGACGGGATTGGCTTTCTAACTGCCAAGTAAACTGGCTGCACGACTGGAAACGGGAAAGGATTCCACCTGCTCCAGTAATGTGTTCCCAGTGAGCTCCTCCACTGATGGGGAAGGAAGATTCTCTCATTAAGGAGGAGACTGTTTATGGCTGTCAAGGATTCTTTGCTGTTTCTCACTGAACTATAGTCCATGGTATTTAAAACGCCTGTGTTTGGAAGCTGAACATCCCCCGTATGTTGTTTGTGATGCTGCCCCCTGGAACAAAGCCAAGACAGAATGCTGAAGCAACTTGAAGACTGGCATATTTTATTTGCCACCACCTTTCATGGGCTGCCACCCAGTGCATCAGGTGTTAACAAAGTGAACAAGCGCCATGGAAAGCTCACTAGCCTTTCAGATGCCACAGAACTCTGCCAGTTTTGCTGTGCAAAAAGCTGTATGTGTAAGCTGTCTGTTCGCTTAAAGGGACTGAGGTTCTCTAGGGAGGGCCAGGGAACCCGGAGCAGAAAAGGAGGTCCATGTCCTGAAGAGTCATTCCCCTCTCTCATCTCTGGGGACTCTTCATTTCCAAAAAATGTACTGAAAAAAGAAGCAAGTATTCTTATTATCCAGTGTCTCTGCTGGAAGTTTATTCATGACCTGTTTGGCCCCGTGCCTTCTCTGCCTCCTTCTGTCCTGAATTTTGAAACTGGGATGTGACTACGCTCTCAGTCAACTTGCCAGAGAAAAAGACCATCACACCGGTGGTTCGGTGGTTCCATGCGGGATGACCTTGGCAGTCGCCCGCTGGGTGCAGCTGCGTGTGCAAAGGTGGCAGGCGGCACAGACGGAATTGCACCCCCGTAGATGCCTGCAGGCACCAACTCTCCAAACAAACCAGCCAGGGTTCCAGCAGCACCAAAACAGCAGGACAACACCCAAGACAGCAGCCAAGGAGGCCAGAAGCAGTTTGCATTTGCCTGCGGAAGAAGAGGAGCGAAAAGGTTGCGAGTTGCAGAACATCTCAACCCACTCTCTTCCTCCGCCCAGCCCAGCCCAGCCCACTGAGCCAGTGGCAGTACCTGTCTGGTCCCAGGTGCGCACGCCTGGGGGCGGCAGAGGGGTCTCCTGCTGTCCCGTGCGGGTTGCTTGCGTTGGCCAAACACTAACGGCTGGAGCAGCCTCAGAAGGCAGCACTGGCAAAAGTGTTGGTGAACCTGTGCAAAAGAGAGCGTGTGAGGGGGAAAAAGCCGTTATGCTCCGCCCAGGTTAGAAAGACATCCTGGCTAGCCATGAATTTGATTTGGTTATTGAATTTTTTTTTTTACCCTAACCCAAGGTGGCTTACGACACTGAAATACAATATTTAAAGCTGAAAACAATGAGTATAAGAAGGCAGCTTAACACCCGAGCTGGCTCGTAATGGGAGACACAGTCTTTGAGATAGCTTGGACCCAGGCCATTTAGCGCCTTATAGGTTAAAACCTGCACTTTGAATTATGCCCAGAAACTGGTGGCTGAAGACCCTGAACAGCCAAGAGCAGAGCTTCCAGGAAGCCGGGGTGGACAACTCTGGCCTTCCCATGTTTTAAAAATATGCAACCGCTGTCTGCCTTCGCCAGAATACCAAGAGCAAGAGATGTTGGGAGTACAATCTGAAAACACTGAAAGGGCCACAGTTGCCGTTCCTGATCCAGTCGGGTCTCTTGCCGGTAGAGAGCTTGGAGCTCCTGTTTACTTAAGGTCCAATCAGACAATCCAGTTGGCGCCTCATGAGAAGCAGAAAGGGCTTCTGCAGACAGCTATGTCCGAGCCCTGGGTTTGCCTCCCAAGGATTGACTGAAACACCCAAAGCGAACTACTTGCACGAAGAGATGGGTGATGAGGAAGCACCTGCCACAACCAACAGGCCCCTGGCCCCAGGGAGGGCCTTTCTGTCTAGTGCTCTCTTAGGTAGAGGCCGCCGGCCCTCCCGTGCCCGTCTTTCCAGTCCTGACCCAGATCTCCCTTCTAAGACGGCAGAAGCAAGGAGCCGCCACGCCCAGCTGCTGAGTTCCTCCCTCCTCCTCCTCTCCAGCTCCTGACCTTCACACCAGGCTGGGGGCTGGGCCGGCTGGTCGGTGCCATCTCCACAGTCGTCCACCATGCCCCCATCGCACACCAAGAAGGGAGGGATGCACTTGCCGTTGCGGCAGGGGAAATACAACTCTGCATGGCAAGTGGAGGCGTTCAGGCCTGGGAGGTCACAAAAAAGGGGGGGTGTCATGCAGTGAAGCCAGGCACCCAGCCCAGGCTGAACCAGTTGGCTGAGGCGGCTCTCGCCCTTACCTGTTCGGAGGGAGGTGAAGTGCCCCACAAAGTCCACCCGAGGCTGCTGGCCTCGAGTCAGCAGCCGCAAGGTCAGGAAAGGGCCGGTGGAGAGGACAGGCCTGGGGATGGTCTTTCCGCACAAGGGTGCCCCAAGGGACTTGGCCATCTGGTCGCTCCCATCATAGAACTGCAAGTAGGAGCCTGTTGAGCAAGGGCCCCTGAGGGGCTCCCGGGGAGAAGCTGGGACCCGGTGGTCCTGGGGAGTGCTGGGCGGCGTGCTGGAAGGGGAGCGCAGCATGCTGTACACCAGGAAGAAGCGAAACTGGAACTGGACCTGGTCTTTTGGGGAGGCCGCCTGCAGGGTGAGCTGGCAGTCGGTGTCCGGGACCACAAAGTAGTAGCGTCGGGAGTCTCGGTGGGAGGTTAACACCATCCCGTCCCCGTGGAGGGTCTTGCCACAGAAGTCAACCATACTCACTGTTGGGGAGAGGAGGAGGAGGAATCCAGCATATCAAGAGAGAGAGATCCACTTGTTTGCTCCAGCTCACTGGAATCTAAAGAAGCTTCTAAGTCAACCAGACCCTATGCATTTAGTTTCCGCCTGGGTGTAGGAGAGCAACACTTTGGCACCAAACAGTTAATGGCTCTCATGGCATGTTAAAGGCTGCTAGATATACAAGGTAAAGGTAAAGGTTCCCCTTAACATTTTGTCCAGTTGTGTCTGACTCTAGGGGGTGGTGCTCATCGCCGTTTCCAAGCCGTAGAGCCAACATTTGTCCAAAGACAGTGTGACTTAGACACGGAACGCTGTTACCTTCCCACCGAGGTGGTCTCTATTGATCTACTCGCATTTGCATGCTGGCGGGAGCTGGGACAAGCGACGGGTGCTCACTCCGTCACGTGGATTCGCTCTTACAGCTGCAAATCTATAGACCTTACAGCACAGAGGCTTCTGCAGTTTAACCCGCAGCGCCACCACGTCCCTTCAGATATATCACAAGAAGGCAAGAATCGTTGGGAAAAGCAATAATGTCAGGAAGAGTGGGAAAGCAGTAGGACAAGAGGAAGGCCAAATATGAAATAGATTGATTTATTCAAGGAAGCCTTCAGTTTGCAAGATGTTAGCAGGGCTGTTAATGATGGGAGCTTTTGGAAGAGATTAATGGATGGAGTTACCGTAAGTAGGACATCCATGACAACTAATAATTGGTAAGACCTCCCAAGACACAACTGTGTTACTGTGTTGCAGAAACAAGAGAAGATCCTTTTGACAACTAAGATAAGGCATTTCCTTCTAGCAGAAAAAATTGCAGCCACCATCCACAAAGGCTCATAGTACAATAGAACCTCTCTGTGTTCCTGAAAGCTTTCATCACGCAATAACCCTGCTTGAAACAGGCTTTTATGAAGGGTCCAGAGGCTGTGATCTCCATGTCTGCAATCTTCCGATGGCAAACCATCCTATCTTTCATCCTTTGTACTTCTGAAGGAAAAAATCCATTAAACGGGAAAGATGTGCGTTTGATTCAAAATGCTAGGAGCTCTCTGCCCAGAAGTATCCTTAGTTTTTATGATGCTAGGAAGCCCTCTGTCCTTTAATCTCAAAAGCCTTGAGCCAGCGCTTCAATTACCAGACACTTGTCTGTTTAATAGTCCTTTTCAGCATTACCCAGAAACAACAAATAGCAGATCTCTGGGTCCAGGAATTCCTGAGCCTGTGAGGGTTCTGTAACTTACACACACTTCATTGTGAACAGCGAAAAACTAGCCAGAAAGTCAAGGAGAGGACCCACCCTTCCCTCTCATAACCCTGCTTCTGGGAAATTTCACTCTGGCCTTCATGGCACCTGCCCATTTTAGCTTCTTTGCCAGTGACCAGAGGATTAGCCTAAACCACCCTGTTTCTTAGCAGGGCCTCAAAGTACCAAAATCGAGCTAAGTCATTACTTCTTGTGAGTCTAGGGAACCGCCGCAGCAACGGTGTCATATCCTTAGCAGCCCTGCTTAGTTCTTGTAAATTCAACCTTAGGGTTTCCTTTAGGGAATCAGTCCATCTCATATTTGGGCTCCCTCTTTTCCTGCCGCCTTCCATCTTCCCCAGCATTATTGTTTTTTTCAGGGAACCAGAATCCTGTTTTCTTGCGATCTGCATGAAGTAAGATAGCCTCAATTTCAACATTTTTGCCCCCTGAGAGAGTTCAGTCTTGATTTGATCTGGGACCCACTTGCTCGCCTTTCTGGCACTCCAAGCATCCACTCCAAAGCTCTCCTCCTGCACCGCCTTTCAAACGAAACCATTTTTCCCCTTACCTTTCTTCCCTGTCTAGCTTTCATACGCATACATAGTGATCAGTGATCACCCTATACCTGGGATTCAACCTAAACCTTTCCCCCCCTTTTCATCCATAATGCTCTATATGCTACTTTCTCCTTTTCACTTCTTTATTTCACTCTCTTTTCTCCTTACATTCAAACCGCCTTTCTGGACTGCTTGTTTCCACCTTTCTCGTAAAAAACAAGAATGAGGTAAACAAAAGAAAAGAGTATTAAGTTGTACCTTAGAACAGCTTAGGTAGAGATAAAGGTTCCCCATGACATTTGGTCTAGTCATGTCCGGCTCTAGGGCGCGGTGCTCATCCCTGTCTCCAAGCCGTAGAGCCAGCGTTTGTCCGTAGACAGTTTCCGTGGACTAGACATGGAATGCCGTTACCTTCCCACCCTGGTGGTACCTATTTATCTACTCACATTTTTACATGCTTTCGAACAGCTAATTTGGCAGGAGCTGGGAGAAGCAACTGGAGCTCCCTCCGTCCCGTGGATTCAATCTTACGACAGTTGGTCTTCTGACCTTGCAGCACAAAGGCTTCTGCAGTTTAACTCGCAGCACCACCACGTCCCTATAGAGCAGCTTATGGGAACACAATTCCCACACTACAATGACACTTATATCCAAAAAAAATATGCCCAAGTTGTTGTCTCAAGACTTAGTGCCCACTCATTGCCAGCACAGCACCCTGAGGCTCAGTATCAATCTGAGACTTTGCTGCAGCTTAGCAGGGAAAACGGAGGAAGCCCCTACCCGCCTCCTCTTACCTGTCTGCATAGCTGAGGCCGGAAAGACCTGCATATTCAGCAGAAGCAGCCATTTCGCCCACGCCTGCAAACGACTTCCTCGGCCCATCTTTGCCGGCACAGGACTCTCTTTTGGAGCCCCTTTGTACCAGGATGGGCAGAGGCGGATCTGCCAGGAAAAGGTAACAGCTGTGACAGAAGAGGGCTGAATTTGCACACTCACCCACCCAGGGCCCTCCTGAGCAAATCGTCCAACTGGAGACGGCTTTTGCACAGCTTGACATGAGAACAAAAGAAGAGGCTGCCAAGCCTTTTGCGAGCAAGAAGGGAGGGGGGAAAGGCCCCATCCCGGAGTGTGTGTGTTTTTACAGGGGAGGAAAAAACTTAGCACCGCACAATGGCTCCGACAGCTTGAATTTTGTTCTCTTCAGCCCAGCTTTTTGCGGTCACTGTGTGCAAGGCTCAGTTGCTATGGGAAGAAGGGGTTTGATGGAGCCTTGCAAGTACCCCCCCAAAAAAACCAACAACAAAAAACTGTGTAAAATTTAAACAAAAGCCAGCGGCCAATGAACCAAACCGGCACTAAAATGCCATGGGTGTTTCTCTTCTCTCTCTCCTTCCTCAAACCATCTCTGCTCTGCAAGATTAGGGGGAAAAAACCTGGTGTCTGTTTTCTGTCTTGAAGAAGTTTTACAACAGGGCCCTAAAACAAACATAGACCTAATTACAACAGGTAACCAATGAACATTTCATTCAGTTTCTTTATGTCTGACGAAGGGAAGGTGTCCACAAAAAATGATACTGATCAAAGACTGCTGGATAGTCCAGGGATTTCAGGCATCTTATCTGGCTGGGAGTTCGATTCCCCCCCCCAGAGGGCCTGTATTCAAGGATCCTTTCCAGCTCTGCAGTTCTGAGGATGATGACGGTTGCTGTCATTATTATTATTGAAAAATGCCAGGCACAGTCAAATCAAAAGTACGAAAATATTGACTGACATTATATATAACAGGTACACGCTTTAACCAAAGACCTGCTTCTGTTAAATTTTTGCAGTAAAGCAACCCTTCAGCAAGGCCCTGGTGGGCGGGGGGGGGGGGGAATTCATCCAAAGCCGGAATAGAGCCTCCTGGCGCAGTGGTTAAAACGCTGTACTGCAGCTAAAACTGTGCTCACAACCTGGGGTTCAATCCCAGGTAGTGGCTCAAGGTTGACTCAGCCTTCTATCCTTCTGAGGACGGTAAAATGAGTACCCAGCTCGCTGGGGGGGCAATGTGTAGCCTGTATAATTAAACTGTAAACCGCCCAGAGAGCGCTTGTAGCGCTATGGGGCGGTATATAAGTCTCCCCCCCAAAAAAATAGTCATCTGGGCCGCAATAAAAACCGGGTGTCCAGAAGCCATCACACCAACAGCAGTGACTCTGGGGGTCGGTTGTCCCTCGAAGAGAGCCGTGGCAATGGTGTGTGTGTTTTGTTTTTTGCGGGGGGCGGGACCAAGGCCAAAACCTTTGGGAAGGCTTCCCTGAGGTAATTCATGTCTGGGCCGCTAACCCTCGATTCCTGTCAGGAAAGGGGCCCCAAGGACGCGAGGGAGGACTTTCCCTAGAGGGCCCACAGCCACGCTACCCTTCGGAGGGCGCCCTGAATGGGGTGTGTGTGTGGGGGGGATTCAGCCCCTTTCTTCCCACTAAAAAAAAACCCGCAGGAGGAGCCGTCCCTTTTCCTTTTTCCCTTTTCCTGAGGGAACCGCCGAGAGCAGAGGACGCGACGGGCATTCTGGGTAACGCCTAGCCTCAGGGAAAAGCCCGCCGCCAGAGGGACAGCTGATCCGCACTGTGCCTGCGCTGAGAATAACGGCTTTTTTTCCCCCTCGCGCGCTCGGCCCCTCAGAAAGGGCGGGGTAAAAAAGAAGGGGTGGAGATGCGAAGAAAAAAAAAAGTAGCCCCGCCCACTGGGTAGAATTACCCAATCGGAATGAAACCAGGACCTTCGGGACGCGCCTCCTCCCTTCGTTTTAACCCAAGGGCGTGACGCTACCGCGTCGTTCGCGCCTTCTCGGCGCGTGGCGTCATATTCAGGCGCCTAGGCACCTATGAGGGGGGAGGTTCGTCTCGTCCCGTTGCTAGTCCCGCTCGTGCCTGAGGGGACGGGTCTCGAGTTGGACGCGCGCTCTGATTCGTGGAGAGGGGCAAGAAGGGGGTGGGTCAGTAGTCGTTACGTCATTCCGTTTCCGTTGGCGGCCCTGCGGCGCCTCACTTCCGCTTCCGGGTCCCCCCTTTTTCCGCTCCTTTTCGCTCACCCCCTTCTTCCCCACACTCGTCGCGGCGCTTCTTCCCGGTTCCTTCTCCGGCCGGGCTCGGGATGGCGCCGCGGCTGCAGCTGGAGAAGGCGGCCTGGCGCTGGACGGAGACGGTGCCGCCCGAGGCCGTGACGCAGGAGCACATCGAGGCGGCCTATCGCATCGGCCTGGAGCCCTGTCACCGCGGGGCCTGCCGGTGAGCCTCTGGCCCGGGAGGGCGGGGTGGGGGTGGGGGGCAAGAAGGAAGGAAGGAAGGAAGGTCCCTGGCTGGGCCTGGCCTTGGGGGGCGAAGGAGGGTTTTCGTGGGCTGCAACTCCCAAGGTCCCCCTACCTCGCCTCCCTCAGCTGTGGGGATTCTGGAAGTTGTAGTCCAACGGAGACTCCCTTTTTGAGGTGGGCCTGGGGGAGGGGTTAGAGAGAGTTGGGCTTGGAAGAAAAGGAAAGAGAGGCTCCTCTAGGTAAAAAGAGGGGCTGCCTCTTGGTGGTGGGGCGGGGGTCGAGGGGAAGCCCGAAAAGGGATCCCATCTCTGGACCCAGTGGGCTGCGCGGTTGTGGGGCGGGAGGGACGACGAAGCGGGTTGCAGGGGGTGGGGAGGGAGAGAGAGAAAGGAACTAGCGCAGGCTGCAGGACGCCATTGCCAACCACCCAGAGAGAGCGCTTAAAGGGCTGCGGGGCAGAATAGAAGCAGCAGGTTGTTTTGTTTTGTTTTGGCTTCTGCTTCGGTGCCATAAAGGCAGAGAATGGCCTCCAGGAGTGCTTCCCAACCTGAGGGTTTGCAAAGTGTTTTCAGTGGGCGGGGTGGTCTCCTTATGTAGCTTTTGCTAAAAAATTTCTTCCTCCATCTTTTAGAGCAGGATGTTCAAGTTACCTTGTATGTGTATGTATGAGAAACAGCGGGGCTTTTGGGGAAGAAAGAACCCTCTGTTTGCTGAGAAAGGTTAACTTTACCTCATTAAAATGCCTTTTTATGTTAATGCAGCCTGGGGGGGGGAGTCACAAGTTATTTGGTTATTATAAAAGGGGTCACAACTAGAAAAAGGAAACCATAGGCTTGAGTTATCAAGAGCTGAGGAGGGCACTTGAGAGCCGGACCTTTTGAAGCTTTGAAGTCAGAGGTGATTTGATGGTAGGAAACAACAGCAAAAACGAGCCAGTTAGGGGCCCTCCGTGTCATCTTCGGAAGTCACCTGCCTTGAATGTTCTCAAAAATCTTGGTAGAGGTGAAGGGGGTGGCAATCTGTTCAGCCGCCCAGAGTGGTAGAATATACCAGATGGGCGGGATATAAATCGAATAAATAAAGAAAAATAAATAAAGATGGGATCCACCCTGGTGCTTTTCATTTCCAAGGAGGAACTGCAGAGGAAACCCGAACTGCTTGGTGGGGATTGGTGAGCACGTTTGGCTGGGCGAGATTGATGAAAACACTTTTCACAACATTGATGATCCAAACTTTGAGAGGAGAAAAAAGGTACAGTTGATGTCCTTTCTGTAAGAAACTGCCTTGATTTCGGTGCTGTTGTTCGTATCCCATTCCTTCTTTCTGTGAGCCAGGTTGTTGTTGAGTGTCCAAACTGATAGAATTGGTTTCATGACAGTTGTGGGATTTTTCATTACAAAACTTAACAAGGCCTTAACAGTTATTGCATACTTTTCTGGAGCAGGGTGGGTTGACCTCTTCAGAGATGTGAGAACCCCTAACCCATCTTTTAGGACGCTGTGTTTAGCAGGAAGCTGCTGATACTTTGGGTAGATGTATTTGATGCTGACACTGATACTTCTAAACTTTCTTGGTGTCTTTGTACGTTCTTTAATGTATTGACTGCCTTGAGCATCTTCTAGCATAAACCAAGAAGAATAAATAGGAGCTTTAATACTGTCTTTTCAATTATGTAAGGTCCTTTTAAGGAGGAAAGTGGGATAAAAATGTCAGCGGAGCTTCCTTTAAACTCTGGATCAACTTTTTGCAAGTTCCATCTCTCAGCAAAATGTCAGATTTGTTGGCGTCCTTGATCTCATTGCTTGCATTTTCTCTTCTCTGGCCAGAATGCATTTGTGGGCCTCACAAACCTCGGCGCCACCTGCTACGTCAACACGTTCCTGCAGATGTGGTTCTTGAATTTGGAGCTTCGACAGGCTCTCTATTTGTGCCCTATAACCCGCCCGGGATATGTGACGGCAGAGGGCACTGTTGCAAATAAAGGTCAGTAGAGAGACTTTCTCTGTGCCTCTGGTTAAGGGGATCATGAAGCCTTGAAAGTTCATGCCAGCTCAATCTTCTCATCCAGCAGATTATGAGCCTCAAACCATTTGCGAGCACCTCCAGTACCTGTTCGCTTTGCTGCAGAACAGTAAGAGGCGATACATTGATCCGTCGGGGTTTGTTAAAGCCCTGGGTTTGGACACAGGTCAGCAACAGGTAACGTTCGGGGAGGGGATGTGTGCAATTTTTGTTGTTCTGCATCAAATGGTTTGCCATCTGTAACACAAAAGCTGCCACTTCCAAACTGGCATGCGCCAGCACTGCTCTGCTGCTGGGAGAAAGGACCGTCATTCCACCCTTAGGAGCACAAAGCTGCTCTGCTTGTGTGCGCATGCCCTCGCAGTGTTGAACATAACCTTTGCCCCTGCAACAACACATTTGGTTTTTCTAGGATGCGCAGGAGTTTTCAAAGTTGTTCATGTCTCTGTTGGAGGACACCTTGTCCTCGCAGAAAAATCCAAACGTACGGGACATCGTTCAGAAGCAGTTTTGCGGAGAGTACGCCTACGTCACCGTGTAAGTCTGCTCTCGTTAAAACATCACATTGTAGGCCTTCGCTTGGGCTGTTTCTGATGCCTGTGCTCTTAAGTTGCAATCCTTCCTGTGGTTCTGTGCTGCTTCCCGTTGTTGCAGATGTAACCAGTGTGGCCGAGAGTCCAAACTCATCTCCAAGTTTTACGAGCTGGAGCTGAACATCCAAGGCCATAAGCAACTGTCGGACTGCATCACAGAGTTCTTAAAGGTACAGGCGGCATCGGAGCATGTCCCCCCCCGAGAGCCCCCCCCAGGTCCAGCGTGAATGCTTTTCAGCCTGCAGCAGGTGCCCTTGCCCTGCTGCCCCCTCTCCCTTGCATGATCTGAATCTGAACCAGCTCTGCCTCTCATGGGGAAACGCGGGATCCCCTGTGGAAGCGTTCTCCTGCCCCACTCCTGCCCCTCTCCTGACCAGGAAGAGAAGCTGGAAGGGGACAACCGCTACTTCTGTGAGACCTGCCAGAGCAAACAGAATGCCACCCGGAGGATCCGGCTCCTCAGCCTTCCGTGTACCCTCAACCTGCAGCTGATGCGCTTTGTGTTTGACAGGCAAGTGGCTTCCTTTCCTCTTTGGCTGCAGAGGCAGGGAGCTTTTGCTATCCTTGGGTTGAGTCTCCCCATGTGGAGGGAGGGAGGCAGGCTTCGCTTGCCTGAAGGAGGAGGGTCATGTCCTGATCCCCGCCGAGGACGTGCCTGCCCCTTGAAACCTGCAGGGTGCAAGACCCTAACCCACGGCACCACTTTGTGAGCTTGTGTCTGCTGCCGTCTCAGTCCAACAAGGCTGAAAGGGCTGCGGGCCGCCCTCTAGTTGTGCAAATCAAACCCCACCAACCAGCATTGGCATATGCTTTTGCAAAGGACAGAGGAGACCTGGTGGGGGGGGGCGCAGGCGGGAAAGCCTGGCTGTTCTTTTGCCCTTGTCTCGTGGCAAAGGGTTTTGTGAGCCTTTCAAAATGCTTGCTCTGGAGTCTTGTTGGGATTGAATGCTGAACTTAGCAAATGTTTTTTGTGTTTCTTTTCAAGAGTCTGTCGCTTGTTGTGTTGAGCATTGCATGCTTCTTTTGATCCTGTTTTCTTCATCAGGCAAACCGGACACAAGAAGAAGCTGAACACCTACCTTGAGTTCTCAGAAGTTTTGGACATGGGGCCCTTCATGGAAGACAAAGGTGGGCTGGCAAGAATACTCCCCCCCCCTCTAAGAAGTCCAGGTTCTGCTGCTGCAGCCCCATAGTGTTATTTTTCAGCCCAGAAGATCCCCGAGGTGTCATGCAGTTTAGAAGCAGATCTTTAAAAAGAGGCAGGCTGCGAGGGGAGGGGAGCGGCCTTTGTGCTACACCGCATGGCATGTTCCTGCCCCCAGGTTCCAGGGTAAAGGTTTAAGCGCCTGGTCTTAACGCAGCCGAGGAGGCACTCGCGACAGCTGGTGTCAGAAGAGGTTGGGGGAAACGGCAGATGCCAGGGGCGTCTTTCTCCGGGACCCTGGGAAGCACCCTGGGACCCCAGCGGGGGCTTCAGGGGACTCTCTTTTGTGTTTCAGTAAACAACTACGTCTATGAGCTCAGTGCAGTCCTTATCCACCGGGGCGTGAGTGCCTACTCCGGCCATTACATTGCCCATGTGAAGGACCCTCAGACGGGCGAGTGGTACCGATTCAATGATGAGGAAATTGAGAAGATGGAGGGCAAGAAGCTGCAGCTGGGAGCAGAAGAAGATCTAGGTATAGGCGCCATCTGCCTTCCGGATCGTTCCCTTTCTCGCTCCAGCTGGGGAAGCCCCCAAGGGCCACCCCAGGAACCAGCATGGCTGCCGGGCGGGGTCCTGATGCAGAATGTGTCCAAGCTAGAGGTGGCTGTCAAAAGATTTGGGGGGGATGGGCAGGAAGGTGGGAAGAGAAGGCGCCGGCATTTTTCAAGGAGAGCAGATTTCACAGCACGGGCTTGCTCTGGCCTCTCTTTTTCCCACCAGAGCCATCTAAATCCCAGACTCGGAAGCCCAAGTGTGGGAAAGGGATTTACCGCTCCCGAAACGGCTATATGTTGGTGTACAGGCTCCAGACGCAGGAGAAGTCGCTGAGGGTGGAAATCCCAGGTAAGCCAACTCCGGGCGGCCACATTTCTTCGTGCTGCCAGTGCTGTCTCTCCCTTGGCAGCCGGAGTGCAAAGCTGAGCTCCAGGAGGCCGGCAGGGAAGCACGTCTTGTGTTGGAGATGCAATTTGGAGAGCTTTTTTCACTCCAGGCCCCATGCGAGGTGGTGGGTCCTTCCTCAGGGAAATCAGCGACCGAGCAGGAGCGTCCTCAAGAGAGCCTGGGTGGCTGTCCTTTACGTGGGCTTGTGGAGTGCGCTCTCCATGCAGGCCTTTTGAAACAAGGCCCTTTGCTTCTCCTGGTCTTTTCTGGCAGCCTGGACGGAGCTGTCTTGGGAGGGAGCAACCCTCAAGCCTTAGGACCCTGTGCGCCTCTCCTGGGTTCCCCATCTAGCTGCTTCCAGCCTCCCCGGAAGAAGGCCGCGCTCTTTCCTTCCTGATACTGCCTGCTTTTCCGCAGCTCCCCCTCCTCTGTTCCAAACAGGCCAGAGTCTCCCAAGGGCTCAGTTCCCTCCCAAGGGCTCAGTTCCCTCCCAAGGGCTCAGTTCCCTCCCCGCTCTTTCTGCTCCTGGCCTTTTCCACCCGCTGGAAGGCCGCTCCGAAGACCTTCTCTGAACATGGACTTTACAGCCCCGGGGTTTCTGTCTGGGTTCTGATTCTTCTCCTGCCCTTCGGCCCCGCCTAGCTTTCCTCCAAGAGCTCGTGGAGCGGGACAACAGCACGTTCGAGGAGTGGTGCGACGAGATGGCCGAGATGCGCCAGCAGAGCGTGGCCCGAGGCAAGATCAAGCACGAGGAGGTGAAGGAGCTCTACGAGAAGTTGCCCGCCAAAGCTGGTCTGTAAGATCTTCCCTTCGTCAACCTCTGGGTGGTGGGCCAGGACCCTGGGCATTGGGGGAGGGGGGCTGTCCTGGGCCAGCGGGGGTGGAGGAAGCAGACATAATAATCCCTCTGCCCTCATGGGGGGGGGGGAGGCCAAAGAGGCTCCTCCACCTTCTCTCTTCCCTACTGCAAGTGTTGGTGCCTCCCCACCCCACCCCCGAGGGGCCCGAAAACCCTTTCTGTCTTGCTTTAAACCGATTTCCCTTCTGGGAGAGCTGCCAGGCAGTGGGCTTCACTTGACCTGGCTAGCTCGGTTGAACTTTCAGAGTGGGCGTGCAGCTTGTATGTGGTCATTTCGGGTTTGGGAGGGGGAGGAGGACGCCGAGAGAGGGTTAAAATGGAGATCTCCGTTCTCTGGAGGTTGGTGGCTGCTGTCCTCAGTCTGGCTTCAGCCCTTAGCAGGACGTAACAGGGCCTGTTCCACTAGTGAAGGGAGACACGGCTCTTCAGCACAGATTTTGAGTTTTCCAGGAGGAGCAGAGGGCGTGTCGCGATCTTAAATCACAGGAGCCTAGGCTGGATCTGCTGAGGTCTCAGCCCACGGCCCTGACCCTCTGGCCCTTCTTGTCCCTCCTTCCAGGGGCCCCCTACGACTTTGTCTCCCTTGAGTGGCTGCAGCAGTGGCTGGATGAATCGACGCCCCCCAAACCCATCGACAACACGGCCTGCTTGTGTTCCCATGGCAAGTTGCACCCAGATAAAATCCCGGTCGTCAAGAGGGTGTCGGAATACGTCGCTGATTATTTCTACAAGCGATACGGAGGGGGGCCTCGGCTGACAGGTCTGTAAGAACCCCACGGAGCGTATTGGGAAGGATTTAAGCCTTGCTGCTCGTTTGAGTCTCTTTTGATGCTTTTAGCTGAACGATGAGCACTTCGTCTCCCCATTGGCTGCTTGCAGGGAAGTGGGAAGAGCAAGAGAACACAATGCTCGACATATGGCCATAATTTGGAAAAGGAAATTTTGGATCACAACTCCCAGAATCCCCCAGTCTGAGCAAGGGATTCTGGGAGCCGGAGTCCAGAAGCAGCAAAGTTTCCCAGCTTTGGAAAGGCAACGGGCTTTCCGAGCGCAGAGCTGAGAAAGGAGTCTGTCTGGAGTGCCAGATGGGGAAGCCCATCCTCTGTCGGTGGGCGGGAGGAGAGAGAATCCACCGTCTCTTCGCAGGTCTTTAGCAGTGAGAAAGCTGCTTGCCACTTCCCTGCTCCTTCCCTTTCGCACCTCATCGGCTGGTGCCTAGCTTGAGATGCAAACTGTTAACTCTCAAAAACTGAGCGGCTCCTCCTTAGAAGTCACTCCAAAGGAACTCTTTCTCCAGGCAGGAGCTGAGCTGTGTGTCTCTCCTCTGCTGGGGGGGCACAGAAGGAGTGGGCAGGTGACGTCCCCATGGCCTCTGTGTCACGAGAAGAGTAGAGTTTCCTCGCGACCTCCTCCAATGTTGGCGGTGGTGATTTGCAGCCTCCCCAGCTCTCTTGAGGTTTTTTTTGGGGGGGGGCGGGACTGGCAAGGTCTTGGCATTGCCGGCCAGGCTAGGAGAGACTTTGAAGTTCAGGATAAGACTGGGGACTCCCCGGCACAGGAGGAGCACAGAGGTTCGGGTTTTTTTAGGGCTTCTGGGAATTGAAACCCAGAGCGACCAGAAGGCCCCGATTCTTCCGCCTTTGCTGGATGAAGTGGTGCAAAAGGAGGAGGTGGTGACAGTTCAGGATCAGGGCAAACTGGCAGGTATGGTCAGATCAGGCCGAGGTAGTAACAGTTTGGCCTTCTGCCTCCTCCTCTCTCCCTCCCTCTCTCTTTCTCTCTCATGCTCTCTGCTCAGGCAAAGCGCTGTGCAGAGACTGTGTGGTGGAGCGGTGCCGAGTGCTGCGGCTCAAGAACCAGCTCAACGAGGATTACAAGGCCGTCTCCAACTTGCTCAAAGTGGGTATGAAGGGGTAAGTGTGGACCCTGTGGAAGCACCGAGGAAGCGGTCCTGGCAGGCACGTTCCGGGAGAGGGAGCCCCATGACCAGGATTTAGCCCCTGGCCCCCCGCCCTCCCTGTTCCCAGCCTCGTATCTGGAATGCTGACTCCCTCACGAGCTCTGTTTGGCCCCTGGGATCAACAACGGCCTTTTTTTTTTCTCTCCTCCCAACAGCGATGATGGGTTTTGGGTCGGGAAGTCCTCCCTGCGGAGTTGGCGGCAGCTGGCCCTGGAGCAGCTGGATGAGGCCGAAGAGGACGGGGACCAGAGCAACGGAAAGATGAACGGCGACGCCAAGAGCAAAGGTGGCTTTCCTGGTTTATTTTGAACGGCCAGGCTTCCAGGCCTGAAAGGTCCGGCCCCAGGCATCAGGAGATGAACCTGGAGCAGCCCATAGTGGTGGTGGAGGGAGAAAGGCCCCCAGCCCCGGAGGTGGCAGCCTTGGTGCCTCTTCCTGACACCACCACCACCCCCACCCCCCGGCTTCGTAGCAGGTGGGTTTCTCGCTCGCTCTGCAACCTGCGTTGTCCTCCTTTCCAGATGAATCCAGTGCAGAAAAGCGAGAAGAGGAGGAGCTGAAGTTCAACGAGGATGTTGTTTGCCCTCACGGTGAGAGAGCCGGCTGGGGGACGGGCCAGCAGAGGGTGGGTGGGTGGTTTTGCTCCGCTTTTCTGCCCCTTCTGTTTCTGACGGTGGATGCCAGACTTTACTGCCGGCGGTCTAATCTCTTTGACCCCCCCCCCAACTAGAAGGGGCTCACTGAGGCAGTGGGAACATGTGGGTCCAAGTTAATTAAACACCCTGAGACCAGGGGCCTTTTAACTCTTTACTGGTTTATTGGGCTTGGGTAATTTTGGCCCTGCGTTTGGTGATGAGCAGTGAGGCTCGTTCAGGGCCCGTCCCTCTTCTTGTCTGGCAGATGACGCAAGGACGTTGAAATCGCTTGAAGGTGCCTCGAGTGATTCCTGCCTCTTCTTGCTTTTGGGCCCATCCAAGTTTTTGGCACCGCCTCCTGCCTGGCCGGCAAAGCCACCTGACAAAGGCTCTCCCATTCCATGATGACTTTTCAGTTTCTTTCTTTTTAGCTGATGCAGCTGTCCGTCTGCTTCTCTCCTTCCGTTCCACGCAGGCAACCTGTGCATTTCGGAGAATGAGCGGAGGGTCGTTTCCAGAGAAGCCTGGGAGAAACTCCAGTGCTATTTCCAGAACGCCCCCAAGTTCCACAGCAGCCAGGACTCCTGTTCTCAATGCAAGGTGCTGTGGGGAGCAGCCCTCCCCTCTTTCACTGACTAGGGCACCCCTGGAAGCTATGGGGAAATTATACCTGCTCAGGGGGTGGCAAGGGTGCAACGCCAAGCAGACAACCCCTGGAGTGGGAATTGAAACCTCTTTCCGCTTTGATGGGTTCCAAGGCATGGTGGGCCTCTGAAAATGGGTTGTGTTTTCCCCTCCCCCCTTTTTTGTTTCTAGAAACCAGATATAGGTGAAAAAATTAATGATTTAGGCTAAAGCTCATCCCAAACAGGACCCCTGCCCAGTTCTGCAAGACACCCCCCCCCCAAAAAAAATGGGCTGCCACCTTGCGATTTCTCCTTGGCTGAGAAAACAGGCTCCCCCCCCCCGCTTCCTTTTCAAAGGAGCAGCGGTTAAGAAGGTGTCTTGGCCTGCAGATTCTCGAGCGGGAAGGAGAAGAGAACGAAGCGCTCCATAAAATGATGGCCAGCGAACAGAAGGCGTCCCTTCCGAACCTCTTCCAAGATAAAAACCGGCCTTGCCTCAGCAGCTGGCCTGAGGTGGGCAGAAACGGGGTCAAGGGTGGGCCGCTATTTCAGCTTGTGCACCAAGAACCAACCAAGTAAAGTGGAGGAAATCCGCTCCCCCTCCTGCTCTGTCTTTCTATTTGTGCCGTCCTGTCGACAAAACAAGGGGACCTTGCACGCGCTGAATCGCGTTCCTTGCCGTGTGGTTTCTTTTAGCTTCAAGAAAGTGAGGAAATCAGAAAAGTGGCAACAGGCCAGACTGGAAGGGAGGGCTTTGATGAGCTTCTGGAGACCTGAGGGGTGCCTCTCGGCCATTTGTGACGTTCCCTTCTGAGCGGCCGAGAGGGCCCTTTCCACCAGGGGAATGGGATGGGACAATCAGGATGAACCAGCAAGGCCAGCAGCTGTAGGGTGGGATGCCCAGGCGAGATCTCTCTCACACACACAAAAACCAATCAGTGCACAGATATCTCTAATCTGGTGGAATTCCGGCTGTCACTTCTGGAGAACATAAGGGTCTCTTCTTCGAGAGAACGGATTTCACAAAGCCGAACCCTCTTTTTTTCAGGAGGTGGGCGAGCTCTACGTGGTCTCAAGGTTTTTTGTAGAAGAATGGAGGAAGTTTGTAAGGTAAGGCCTGATTCTGCTCCGTGGGGTCTCCTCTTCCCCTGGAGGAGGTTCCTGGCTTGCTCGGCATCCTTCAACCTGAGTCGGACGCCTCCTGATGTCACTGTCGGTCCTTCTCCCACCTCCTTTCTCAGAAGCTGTGGAGGTTGCTTTCTTTTACCACCGGGAACAGTTACTGATTTTTGGCCCACAGCCCTTAAAATTCTCCAGCTGCTGCCACCACCACCAACAATAACAACCACCTGTTCAATTTTGGAACTGTAAACTAAATCGGTTATTTTTCAAGGCGTGGTTCTATCCCCCCCCCCTGACATCTGTTTCCTCTTCAACCACCCCCAGGAGACCCACACGCTGCCGTCCGGTCTCCTCAGTAGGAAACCGGGAGCTCCTCTGTCCCCACGGCGGCCTGATGTTCACCTTTGCTTCCATGACCAAAGAAGACTCTAAACTGTGAGTTTTTTTGTTCAGTTTTGCTGTCTTTTCCCCCCTGTAACTCCTGGTAGAAAACTGGGACAGAGAAGGATTTGTATGATTTAAAACAACAACAAAACCAAGCGGGTTCTGCTTCAGTTCAGCACTGTGAGTAGGGGGCTGGGGGGCCATGGTGCTTAGCACCAAAGGGCTAGCCAAGGGGCAGCTTCCCAAAAGGTGGCTTGGGTCGGCCTGCATGCGCACAGCTTCGTTTCCCCTGCCGTTTGTTGTCACGGGGACTTCTGAGAAGGCTTTTAGCTCAGTCCTCCCTCCAGTTCCTTGGCCCAGGTTCCGGCATCCCAGCCGTCTCCCCACCTTGGCTTGAACAAGGAAGTTCCTTGTGTTGGCCGCTTGGAGTCAAGCAGGGAGGGAGGGACAGAAAGAAGGAAGGAAGGGGTGTTCTTCTCTCTCCCGGGTCAGTCAGCATGCGACGCTTCTTTGCACAGTATAGCTCTCCTATGGCCCAGCGAGTGGGCGAAGATCCAAACGCTCTTCGTGGTGGATCACCCCGTTCGAGTCATCCGCAGGCGGCCCCTCCAAGCGACCCCGGAAAGCCCCCTCTACATCACGGAGCCCGGTGAGTGAATGGGTGGGTGAGGCTCCTGCCGGCCTCCACCTTTGGCATGTCTCTTCCATGCCTGGCACTCACCTTTCCTTGGCAGGGCGGCTTCAGGCCTTCTGTTTTTAAACAGGCGAAGGAGGGTCGGCGACTGCTGAGCCCAAGGGGTCACGTTGGCAAAACCGTTGACTTTCACGCCTGTCGGCCAAGAATTATTTTAGGAAAGTGCTGGGCTCCTGAAATGACGTTTGTAAAAGTGACCCTCTTGCCAGTGGCCGGGGGAGCCAGCACAACCTCTGGGCCGGCCCTACAGGCTGGGGGGGGGGATCTGGCCCTCCTCCAGAATAGATTTCTTAAGCATTGCAAAACAAAGTGGCCAGCCGCGAAGAGTCTGGCGTGTGCCACTTGTGTCTGACAGAGCTTTCTGCTTTCCCGCAATTCCCTGAGAGCACCTTAAAATCTGCCACAAAGGTCTTTTGGGGCTGGACTCCCCTTGGAGCGTGGCCTTTCCACGGCTGGACCCAGTTCTGTCTCCTCTCTGGGGTCCTTTTGGGTCCAAAGTCATCTCCGTTTAGCCTGGGTATCGCTCTGAAAGTCAAAACTATTTGAAGTCTGATTTCAGTGGATTTCAGGGTTTTATTAGGACTGGAATATCACCTTTCGGGACTAGGGGTGCCCCGGAGCCCCATGCTGCCTACGTGGGCTGGGAGGTCTGTGGCTGGTTGTCCAGAAGGGGAGATTTTCTGAGGCCGCGGACGGACTGTGTTGCTGTTGGATGCCATCAGCGATCTTGACGCCCACTCTGACACTCTCTTTGAATTCTGCCTGTCCATCAAGGCCAAGGTTGGCTCTCTGCTCCTGGCGGATGGTGGTGGAAAGCGCTGGGGGTCTCTCTAGACGTGGACCCCCTTGGCCAGAGCGCCCGCCTTTCCTCCTTTTCTCGCCCCACCAGAGCTGTGCTCGGACTGCCGGGAGGGCCTCTTGTGCCAGCAGCAGCGGGACCTGCGGGAGTACGCCCAGGCCACCGTCTACGTGCGGAAAGTGGTGGACAATAAGAAGGTAGACATCTCGCAGGAGAAAAGATCCCCACCCCTTCCCCTTGGTCTGGTCATCATTGGTGTGGCCGGCCAGCAGAACGGGTGAAGGCAGAGCCAGGGGACCGGAGTGGCTCTCTTGGACCCCGGGGGCTGCCCTCCACCCACCCTGGTCCTTGAGGGGCGTCAGACGCAGGTGGCAGGGCGGTTGGCACGTCCTGGACACCCCTACCCCCACCCCACGTTCCGCAGAGATAAGTGTGTGTACGCGCATGTCTTTGCTGGCGTGCCCTTCTGGTCGCCTTTTCACCCAGCGAACACCCCAGCGTGGGTGTCAGCATCTGCTTCTGGAAGAGACTTTCCAGCAGGGAGGACTCATTAACGGGCAGGCCCCGTCCTCCCTTTGGTCCCGAAGCCGGCCCCAGCACGTCTTCATCGGGTCATGGATAAAAGCAAGAGGGTTGCCTCGGTGTTTATTAGAGAGCCATTTGAGTCACGGCGGATGGCACTGGGACTGGGGAAGGTCAAAGGGCGCAGGCGGCCCCAGGCGGCCCCTTGCTTTTGATTTGCCAGAGGCCAACTCCTTGTGCTCCCCCCCCCGCGCTGTGTGGGCTCACCCTCTTTTTGCCCTTTTCTCCATCAAGAAAGCATTTGTCCTTGGGCTGTGGGTTGACATGCAGGGAGTCTGGGGCTGAGGCTGCTGTGTGGAAGGAGGAGGGGCTTCCCAGAGCAGCTGGCGAGGGAGGAGGCTTGGCATACTGAAGGGAAGAAATCTCGGGTAGATGCCGAGGAGCACAAAAAATGCCCCCCCCAAAAGTAGGTTTCCAGGGGGGAAGGAGGGCGAGGGGGTCCTTCGTCAGGTGTGCAGGGTCCGGCATCTTCTGGCCAAGAAATGTAGAGGCGCGCAAGAGGGTGGGTGCGCCACCTCAAGCAGCTGCATCATGCACGAATGTCTTTTAGCCGGGCTCCGCTCCTGTTGGGGAGTGAGGTGTGATGCTGGCCTTCCGCCTGCCCCCTTTGCCTGCCTTCTGGCATCCTGGGCCTCCTGGGAGGCGTCGTTTGGGGAGCAGAGGAAAGCGATGGCAGGAGAAGGGCTGAAGGAAAGAACAAGGAACCGAAACCGGGGTGTGGGGTGTGCTCAGAGATCAGGCACCTCTTCGCCAGAGTCGCACCAGACTCTTGCCTCCCATCCCTCCACCCTGGCGCTGCCTTGCCGTCGGTTGTGCTCATACAGTCCAGTCCTGCGTGGGCACACACCCATAGGCCCCCTTCCAGGCCTTTCCGTCCTCTTCCCCCCCCCCGCTCTTCGGCTTCCCCTGCCTTTGTATCTCATCCTGCCCGCAGTGAACAGGGCACCTTGGAAAGCAGCCTCTGCCTTTGCCCCTCAGCTGATGGGGGTTGTTTTCTCTTTCTTCTGTCTCTGCGCGGATGGATCCAGGTCATGAAGGAGGCCGCCCCGGAGCTGAACGTGAGCAGCTCAGAGGCGGAGGAAGAGAGGGAAGAGGGCCGGCTGGAAGGGGAGCAGGATCCGGATTTTAACCAGGTCAGTTTCTTGAAAGGAAGCCGGAGAGGAAGGCCCTCTTTGCTTTCACGCTTCTGGCTGGGAAGCTTCATGGAGGGGCTGCCCTGCTGGGTGGGAGACGGTGCTTGACGGCCCCTTTGGTCTGATCCGGCAGGGACTAGCCGGAGCTTGCTGAAGTTGTTTTTTTTGGATGAAGTCTGGGAGTGGCCCTCTATCCAAGCAACTTCTGCAAGCAGTGGCTCTTAATTTCAACAGATACCTTCTGGGTGCTGAATTTTGGCACCTTGCTGACGCCTCGCAGGGAGTGAAGCAGGTCTCTTAAATCAGGGCTGCCGTTGGCTTCCTGGGCTCCTGCTTCCCCCTCGGGGATGATGGGAGAAGTAGTCCAGCCGCCTCCAGAGGGCCGTGTGTCCAACTTAATCATGAGCTCTGTGCGACCTCCCATTAAAAGCTGCAGCCGTTTGGACCAACAGAGAATGCTCTCCTTTCCAGGCCAACAGCAACGTGAAACGGCAGAAGGTTTCACACCCAAACTATCTTGCGTACCAAAAGCAGGGGATCCGGCGGAGCACGCGGCACAGGAAGGTCCGTGGGGAGAAGGCGCTCCTTGTCTCCGCGACCCAGACACTGAAAGACCTGAAGATCCAGGTGAGGCGGGCAGGGCTCTGGTTGCCCGAAGCGGCTCCTCTGCCTCACCTGGGCAGAGCGAGGGGCCTTCTGT